GACCTCAGAGCTGGTATAAAAGACAAAATAAAACAGACCTGGCAGAACCGGTGGAGCTTATATGATGGCCAACTACACCAATACAAACCTAAAATTGACAAGTGGACCTACCCAAGATTAACCAGACGTGAGCAAGTTGTATTGTGCCGAATCCGTATAACTCATACAAATAAAACCCATTTATACTTACTTGCTGGAGCTCAAAGACCACGATGTGAACACTGTAATGAACGTCTTTCTGTGAACCACATATTTGTTTGTCCCCATTTCCACCAACAAAGACAAACCATCGGCACATTACCTGAAATAGAAAACATACTGAAGGATAATAATCAATCGGTCAAAAAAATATTAACTTACCTGAAAGAAATTAAAGTATTTGACCAGATCTAGGAAATGTCTCAACAGAAATGAAAAGAGCCAATGACCTTAGCAGTCGACGCTCTATAATGATAAAAAATAATAATAATAATAATAATAATAATAATAATAATAATAATAATAATAATAATAATAATAATAATAATAATAATAATAATAATAATAATAATAATAATAATAATAATAATAATAATAATAATAATAATAATAATAATAATAATAATAATAATAATAATAATAATAATAATAATAATAATAATAATAATAATAATAATAATAATAATAATAATAATAATAATAATAATAATAATAATAATAATAATAATAATAATAATAATAATAATAATAATAATAATAATAATAATAATAATAATAATAATAATAATAATAATAATAATTGAAAATTGAATTCTCAACTGAATGGTTGAGAAAGGGATACTTGTTCGGGGAAACTGAGGGATTTTTGGTGGCGATTCAAGACAACGTTATCGCAACACGAAATCATATCCAAATTATCCACGGAGTTCGACTCGATAACGACTTGTGCAGAATGTGTCGTCGCCACTCAGAAACAATAGAGCACATAGTATCGGGATGCACGGTATTAGCGCCTACTGAATACCTAAAGCGTCATAACTTAACGGCCAACATAGTTCATCAGCATCTGGCAGTTATGTGCAATTTTCAAGAAAAAGCTGAACAATATTTTAAGTATGTTCCATTCCCGGTCCTAGAAAGTGATACATACCTTCTGTACTGGGATACGCCAATACAGACCGACAAACCAGTATCCAGCAATAGACTTGATATCGTCTTTGTAAGAAAAAAGGAGAAAGTGGGCTTCTTCATCGACATCACGCACCCCAACGATCATAATCTAGAAAAAGCAGAAAAGGAAAAAAATAATAAATACTTTGAATTGGCCGAAGAATATAAAAGTATACATAAACTAAAAAGTATTACCATAATTCCCATAGTAATTTCAGCTACTGGTCTGGTTTCGAAGAAGTTGGAGTCGTACCTAAAACAAATAAACATCACTGATAAAAATATCTTCACAACAATGCAAAAGTCAGTTTTACTAGAAACTTGTCGTATTGTGAGAAAAACTCTGAACTTAATTGCCAATGAATAAAAGTCGCACAACTCACACTTGAAAAAATTTAAAGCCTGATCAATTGACTGATTCCGTAAGAATCCCAATTTATCAACAACCCTGAGAAGGAGAGAGAAAAAAAAAAAAAAAAAAAAATAATAATAATAATAATAATAATAATAATAATAATAATAATAATAATAATAATAATAATAATAATAATAATAATAATAATAATAATAATAATAATAATAATAATAATAATAATAATAATAATAATAATAATAATAATAATAATAATAATAATAATTGAAAATTGAATTCTCAACTGAATGGTTGAGAAAGGGATACTTGTTCGGGGAAACTGAGGGATTTTTGGTGGCGATTCAAGACAACGTTATCGCAACACGAAATCATATCCAAATTATCCACGGAGTTCGACTCGATAACGACTTCTGCAGAATGTGTCGTCGCCACTCAGAAACAATAGAGCACATAGTATCGGGATGCACGGTATTAGCGCCTACTGAATACCTAAAGCGTCATAACTTAACGGCCAACATAGTTCATCAGCATCTGGCAGTTATGTGCAATTTTCAAGAAAAAGCTGAACAATATTTTAAGTATGTTCCATTCCCGGTCCTAGAAAGTGATACATACCTTCTGTACTGGGATACGCCAATAAAGACCGACAAACCAGTATCCAGCAATAGACTTGACATCGTCTTTGTAAGAAAAAAGGAGAAAGTGGGCTTCTTCATCGACATCACGCACCCCAACGATCATAATCTAGAAAAAGCAGAAAAGGAAAAAAATAATAAATACTTTGAATTGGCCGAAGAATATAAAAGTATACATAAACTAAAAAGTATTACCATAATTCCCATAGTAATTTCAGCTACTGGTCTGGTTTCGAAGAAGTTGGAGTCGTACCTAAAACAAATAAACATCACTGATAAAAATATCTTCACAACAATGCAAAAGTCAGTTTTACTAGAAACTTGTCGTATTGTGAGAAAAACTCTGAACTTACCTGCCAATGAATAAAAGTCGCACAACTCACACTTGAAAAAATTTAAAGCCTGATCAATTGACTGATTCCGTAAGAATCCCAATTTATCAACAACCCTGAGAAGGAGAGAGAAAAAAAAAATAATAATAATAATAATAATAATAATAATAATAATAATAATAATAATAATAATAATAATAATAATAATAATAATAATAATAATAATAATAATAATAATAATAATAATAATAATAATAATAATAATAATAATAAGACCCGAAAACATAGCCGCCGAAATGCAGAAGGCTGTCATCCTGGGCTCACTCAGGTTGCTCAGAACTCACGAGAATCGGAACTCATAATTTCTTACTCTGCAGGTAGCAGGGAGAAGTTGTGAGTATTTTTGCCAGTCAGGACTCGTGTTGTCGGAGATACGAGATAGCCTGGTCTGGAATTTACAACGAAAATAATAATAATAATAATAATAATAATAATAATAATAATAATAATAATAATAATAATAATAATAATAATAATAATAATAATAATAATAATAATAATAATAATAATAATAATAATAATAATAATAATAATAATAATAATAATAATAATAATAATAATAATAATAATAATAATAATAATAATAATAATAATAATAATAATAATAATAATAATAATAATAATAATAATAATAATAATAATAATAATAATAATAATAATAATAATAATAATAATAATAATAATAATAATAATAATAATAATATTAATAATATTAATAATAATAATAATAATAGGGGGGTGGGTTGGCTCAGTGGTTAGAGTCATGACTTTGAGATCGGAAGGTCTCAGGATCGAATCCCACCTGTGGCAGGGATTTTTATTTAATTCAAAAAATTAAATATTAATTCTAATGCATAGGTAGGATTCCCCACTCGACCATTCACTGTTGGGTTCTAATTAACAGTGCTGTTCCTAAAGTGGCGCTGGGAAACAGTAACAAAGCCTACACATAACACGAGGCTAATGGCCGTAGTAGTCGACGCCAATGACACCAAATTAAAAAAAAAATTAATAATAATAATAATAATAATAATAATAATAATAATAATAATAATAATAATAATAATAATAATAATAATAATAATAATAATAATAATAATAATAATAATAATAATAATAATAATAATAATAATAATAATAATAATAATAATAATAATAATAATAATAATAATAATAATAATAATAATAATAATAATAATAATAATAATAATAATAATAATAATAATAATAATAAATAATAATAATAATAATAATAATAATAATAATAATAATAATAATAATAATAATAATAATAATAATAATAATAATAATAATAATAATAATAATAATAATAATAATAATAATAATAATAATAATAATAATAATAATAATAATAATAATAATAATAATAATAATAATAATAATAATAATAATAATAATAATAATAATAATAATAATAATAATAATAATAATAATAATAATAATAATAATAATAATAATAATAATAATAATAATAATAATAATAATAATAATAATAATAATAATAATAATAATAATAATAATAATAATAATAATAATAATAATAATAATAATAATAATAATAATAATAATAATAATAATAATAATAATAATAATAATAATAATAATAATAATAATAATAATAATAATAATAATAATAATAATAATAATAATAATAATAATAATAATAATAATAATAATAATAATAATAATAATAATAATAATAATAATAATAATAATAATAATAATAATAATAATAATAATAATAATAATAATAATAATAATAATAATAATAATAATAATAATAATAATAATAATAATAATAATAATAATAATAATAATAATAATAATAATAATAATAATAATAATAATAATAATAATAATAATAATAATAATAATAATAATAATAATAATAATAATAATAATAATAATAATAATAATAATAATAATAATAATAATAATAATAATAATAATAATAATAATAATAATACTGGTGTGGAGTTGCCAATCTTCCATCCAGCGCGTCCCCAGGTGGTGGATAGGGGAATGCTACCCAGATATGGGTGGTACCGATCAAATCGGCGTGAACCAAAATTGGCATTAAGGAGTAAACCTTAGAAAAAATCCGTAATCTAAAGTGTAAGACATCGTGCCAAGAGATGCATGGCTATACGGAGTTAGTCTCGAACGATTCCCTGTGAGTACCAGGCGACCCTCACTTGTACCTAGCCTTACCGTAGTAAGGGAGCACTGCTGCGGCGGACTTTTAGTTCTACCCTACTCGTGGGATAAATATATGGCAGATAAAATCATCAAACCTTCGGAGGCGTCTTCCTCCCAAAACAGAGACAAAAATCACAATGCGAATCAGGAGACGGTGGTCCAGCCCCGGTTCCTGATCGTAAAGAGAAAAGAAGGGGACTTTTCACAAGTAAACCCCTTTTTAATACAAAAATGAAGTTATGGAAAATTTGGTCAGATAAATAACTTAAAAAAGATAAGAGAAGGTCTATTAATTGAAACAGCTTCTGCAGCCCAGTCAAGAGCCATTTTAAAATTAAACAAATTTCTCGAATATGATATCGAAATTATTCCACACGCAAAGTTAAATTATTGCAAAGGCGTTATAAACTGTAGAGATTTATTAAACTGTACTGAACAAGAAATATTAGATGAAATTAAAGATCAAGGTATTATTGAAGTAAAACGCATTAAAACCAAAAGAGATGGCGCACTTATTGACACAGCTAATCATATTTTAACTTTTAATTCACCAAAATGTCCAAATAAAGTTAAAATTGCATTTTATAACTTAAAAGTTCGTCCTTATATTCCATCACCTTTAAGATGTTTCCGTTGTCAACTTTTTGGACACACTGCAATCAGATGCACAAAAGAACAAATATGTGTCTGTGGAAAGTCAATACATACTGGCAAACCATGTGAAACACCTATTACATGTATTAATTGTGAAGGCCAGCATGCTGTTACTTCCAAAGAATGCCCTGTTTACAAACAAGAGACAGCAATCCAAGAAATTAAGGTAAAGGAAAATCTAACATATTACGAAGCCAAGAAGAAAGTTATTATAATCACCCCAAAAGCAAACATTTCTTATGCTAAGGCAAGTACTCCTCGCGGTTTTTCTTCTTCTCCTAGTATTAACACACAAGAACTCGTAAAAGAACTGATACCCGTCCTAGTTAATGCTTTGAAAGACATTTTAATGCCAAATCTCTCCCTTCCCTCCTACCAAAACATCCCACTTCCAATATCCCCCAAACGTGGTAGACATGGTAGTTCAGACCTCGACACGCTAACTAGTGAAAGTACCTCACAACTTAACATAGAAGTCGTTAAGAGAAAGAAAAAAACGAACAGAGGTAGAGGTAGACCTAGAAAATCCACCCAAGATCCCGCCCAAGACGATTCATCCTCTAAAGGTGATGATGAAATGCAAAATGCAACTCAGTAGTTTATCTTTTATACATATATTAAACTAAATTACATCATTATTTAGAAAATATCATAATTTTAAATTTTATTACGCGTCTTTATTTTATTTATTTATTTATTTTATTTATATTAACTATACAAATGTTTCGTGAACGTCCTATTTACAAAAATATATTCATTATTGTATTTCAATCATAGTAATCAATAGCATTAAAAAAAACATCAATAATCTATGTCTAAGTTTAACAAAATAATCCAATGGAATTCAAATGGACTTCGCGGACACTTTCCTGAACTTCAACTAATTAAAAATAAAGTTGATCCTATTATTATCAGTATACAAGAAACTCATCTTAAACCCAATGAACGATTCTCAATGCGTGGCTTCCATAGCTTCCGTAAAGATCTGGAACCTAATCTTAGAGCATGTGGTGGAGTTGCAACATTTGTTAAAGATTCCATACCTGCGAAAGAAATTAAAATCAACTCGAGATTACAAACAGTGGTGATCCTGATTAAAGTTCCCGTTAAATTATGTGTCTGTAATGTGTACCTCCCCGATTCGCACTGGAACGAATATGACCTCCTTCACTTAATGAGACAACTTCCTAGACCTTTTGTTTTATTAGGCGATTTTAATTCTCACTCCCCTCTTTGGGGTTCAGAATCTAGGGATACTACTGGAAGGCGAGTGGAATCTGTTATGGAGGATAGGGAAATATGCCTACTAAACACTGGTAAGCCCACACATTTTAATGCGAGAAATGGGACCTTCTCTGCCATTGATTTGTCTTTCTGTACACCAAACTTAGCTCCTGTGTGCACGTGGGATACTTTAGATGATCTATACTCAAGTGACCACTTTCCAATAACGATCTCATTAAATTTTCCACATGAAGAAATTCCTATGGCAGTAAGGTGGTTGACTTCCAAAGCTGATTGGAACAATTTCTCTAGAATAGTCTCAATTCCTAATCCCGAACAATATCACTCTATTGAACAAGCTTTAGAAGCGGTTACCGAGTCCATACTTTCCGCAGCACAAGATAGTATCCCAAAGTCAAAGGCAAAAAAATCTACCGAGTCAGTACCCTGGTGGAATGAAAATATTAAACAAGCCCTACATGACAGAAAAAGCGCCCTAAGAACCTTTCAAAGGCACCCTACAGAATACAATTTAATTGAATTTAAAAAAATGAGAGCTCGAGCACGAAGAATGGTTAATGAAGCAAAAAAGAGGTCGTGGGAGGAATATATCTCAACAATAACAACGGATACTAGTCCATGTGACCTCTGGAAAAAAATTAAGACAATTGCTGGCAAAAACAGAAGCAATGTACCACAAGCCACAAAAATAAACGGTCAAGTAATAACTGAAATAGAGAAATTGTGTGAAGCCTTCGCTAACCACTTTGAGAATTTCAGTAGTTCTCAAAATTATGATAGACAATTCCAGGAAGTTAAAACTGTTGAGGAAACTATAACTCTAAACTTTAACACTGATTTTCACCATGAATATAATGATCCTTTTAGTTTTCTAGAACTTGAACATGTATTAAGCACTTGTAAAGAAAGTGCAGCGGGTCTAGATACTATTATGTATAGCATGATTCGACACTTACCTACCTGATGGAGCCAAACTTAATATGTTAAAATTTTATAACAAAATGTGGACACTAGGCATATACCCGGATAAATGGAAAACGGCTGTCATTATCCCGACCCCAAAAAATAATACAGAAGTTTCTGAACCCAAAAACTACCGACCAATTTCACTTACATCATGTTTGGGTAAAGTTTATGAGAAACTCCTTAATATTAGACTTACTTGGGCCCTGGAACATCGATCACTTCTGTCCAAACACCAACTTGGCTGTCGTAGTCTACACTCATCTACAGATGCCCTGATCGCACTAGAATCGGAAATCCAAAACGCCTTTCACGACCGATAGCATCTAGTTGCTGTTATGTTAGACATACAAAAGGCATATGACATGACGTGGAAATTTGCTATCGTCAGACAGCTACATAATTGGGGATTTCGTGGCGCGTTACCTCTTGTCTTGTCCAGTTTTCTCCAGAATAGACGGTTCCATGTAAGGGTTGGAAATCTTGAATCCACAGAACGAATTTTAGAAAATGGAATTCCACAGGGTTCTAGGTTAGGTTAACCCTGTTTGCTATTGCTGTAAACTGCTTCGTTTGTGAGATCCCAAATAATATTAGAGCTGTGTTATACGTTGATGACCTAACCGTTTATTGCCGTAGCCACTCCATGAACCACCTAACAAATACCATCCAGAATGAAATTAACAGACTTGAGGAAATTGCTAAATCACGAGGATTCAAATTCTCCCCATCAAAGTCTAACGTCGTCCACTTTTGTAGGTTGAGATCGGAACATGATGATCCTCGGTTATACCTGCAAAACAATGAAATTAAGTGTAAACTTGAAACTAAATTACTTGGGCTCATTTTTGATCGCAAATTGTATTGGGGTAAACACTTAGAATATCTTACCACTAAATGCCGTAAAATTATAAACGTAATGAAGTGCATGGCAAGCATACGATGGGGTGCGGATAGAGAGATTCTGTTAAGAATCTACCAAACGTTGATCGAATCAAGAATAAACTATGGAAGTGTTGTATACGGAGGGGCTAGACCATCACAATTAAAGATTCTGGATATAATACAAAACGCCGCTATTCGACTTGCTACGGGAGCATTTAGAACAAGTCCAATTGACGCAATTCTCTGTGAAGCTGCTATTATACCACTCAAATTGAGGCGCGATATCCAAGTTATCACTTACGCTACTAGAGTCCAATCGTTACCAAACAACATAAATAACAGTACATTTAATAACACTGACAACGAATACCGATACCGTCCTACTATATCAAGACCATCTAATATACGCTTCCTTGAAACTGTAGATAAATACGACATGTCTCCACATACAAATGTAACACTCAACGTGTGCCAAATCGCACCATGGAAAAGGAAAATACCCAACATTAACATCTCTCTTACCAAGTGGACTAAGGACAATACACCACCTGCTGTTTACCAACAATTATTTTCCGAACAACTCTCACGCTATGAAGACCATGTGATAATATATACCGACGGATCAAAATTAACTGAAGGGGTAGGAGCAGCTATTGTAATAGATAACTCATCCTTTTCCTGGACAATGCCAGCTGATTGCAGTATTTTTACTGCCGAATTATATGCCATATGGCAAGCTCAATTATACCTAATACACCATCAAAAAAGCAAAGGCCTGATATGTACTGATTCATTAAGTGCACTGGTATCACTAAAGAACATATTCTCTTCAAATAAGTGGGTAATAAGAATAATTGAACTAGGAACGCATTTAACAAACATCGGAAAATCAGCTAACATTATGTGGATTCCTGACCATTGCAATATTAATGGCAATGAAGAAGCTGACTCTATCGCAAAAGAAGCGGCAGCAGGCTCGACTGATGTTGGAATCCCCATCCCACTCAGTGATAAAAAAATATTTATTAAAACAACAATAGGCAATGCATGGCAATCTGTCTGGGATTCTAGTAATTCACAGCTCACAGCGTTAGTAAAGAGGACCTTACGAACTACTGGTCCTCATTATGGTCAAGCCCAAAAGAACATAAAAGGAGCGCATACTGGATCGCATCAGAAATGGAGAAGGTAAATATCGCACCGATGCCCTTCGACAGGATCACTGCGGAGGATGTATTCGAGGCGGTTAAATATACCGATAATTGGAAAGCACCGGGAGTGGATGGCACGCATAACTTCTGGTATAAGAAGTTTAGCAGCTTACACTAATCTCTGGCGCATCATTTAACACACATTCTCCACCATCCAGAAGACACACCAAAGTTCCTTACACTGGGCATAACAAACATGTTACCCAAGAGTGCACAAACGGAAGACCCTACCCAATATAGACCAATTACATGTCTACCAACATTATATAAAATACTTACATCTTGTTTGACTAACCACATTTACAGACATGTCGAACTAAATAACGTTTTAGCTGAAGAGCAGAAAGGGTGTAAGAGGGAGCATCAAGGGTTCAAAGAACAACTTATTATAGATTCTGTAATACTTAAGCAGGCACAGAGAAACCATCGTAACATCTGCACGGCCTTTGTTGATTACAAGAAGGCCTTCGACAGTGTGCCCCACTCGTGGCTGGTGAAAGTTTTAGAAATCTATAAAATACACCCTACCATTACTACCTTTCTTGCCACCATAATGCAAACTTGGAGGACAAATCTAAACCTCCACATAAAGGATAAGTATTTAAAAACAGACGAAATATCTATTCGTAGGGGAATATACCAGGGCGACTCTCTAAGCCCATTGTGGTTTTGCCTTGCTCTGAACCCGCTCTCTTCCATGCTAAATGCCACGAAATATGGTTTTAAGGTTACGGCTGTCAGAAACACCAGTTGTATTATCTCCCATCTTCTCTATATGGATGACATAAAAATCTATGCCGCAAACCAACAACAAATGCGACAACTGTTGGAGATTGTTCAAAAATTCTCTAACGACATCCATATGGAATTTGGCCTAAACAAATGTAAAACCTTAAATATCGAGAAGGGTGCCATAATGGGTGGCGATGTTCAGCTCCCAAATGGTGACATTATACAGGCCATGGAGAACGGTGAGACATACAAATACTTGGGATTTCAACAAGCCAGAATGCTCGAGGAGAACCAAGCCAAAGCCAGGATTAAGGGCCAATTTACAAAACGGGTAAGCTCCTTACTTAAAACCACAATTTATTCCAGGCAATTAACACCTACGCAACGCCTATACTGACGTACTCATTCGGAATCCTCAAATGGACAAGAACTGATTTAGATGAAATTCAAAGACTGACACGTACTATGATGACCAAACATAACTGTCATCACCCAAAATCATCAACACTTCGAACAACTTTGCCGAGGAAAGATGGAGGACGAGGCCTGGTTGATATTATTA